CTGGATGAAAGACGCTAAACATGCAAGATGACGTTTTGTACATTGGCTCGAAAAATTAAAGGAATAACTGTAATAGTTGTTTTTTGTTATTTATACTAAACGAAGCGCATTTAAAAACAGTTGGTTGATAGCTCAAGGTAAACATCTTCACGTAGTCCAAAAGGATTCACCTTCAAAACACGGAAAAAGATTAACCCTATTGGACCTTATCTATGAATTCTATTGTTTCTTCCTTTCTCTCTACAAACACGGAAGACTGTACGAAGAGCTGGATAAAAATTTTGCGTGTAGAACATCAGACATGCAATTGAGAAGGTATCTGATGCATTATGAGAAATGGATCTTGCTTGCGAGAATGGAAACATGGCAGACACTGACACAAATCTGTAAAAATCTAAAAGCAGCCAAGAACGTCATGTTAGATGTCTGGAAACTGTTATGAAGACATTGGTTATGAAGGCAGACAACACGATCAACGTACATGAATGCCAAAATAGTCTCTCAAGATCGTTGTGGATTAGTGATTGCTAAAAGAAATGGACCTCTTACGTCAGCTTAGATTGCAAATGTAACTACAGCTACAGAATTTCGGCTATCTAGATATATCATGAGTTGAAGGCTGTATAAAGAGAGCAGTATGCAATAAAGCCAAGATTTATGTCTTACTAAGTCGGGCTGCGAAATACGCCCGGTCACAGATATCCTCCTGTTTAGAATATCAGGGACTGGAACCGATATCTTTCCCCTGGGGTGTCTTATTTTTGTTTAGAGAATGGTTCTAGCTGGTTATAATCTATAGGAATCAAATATCAAGTAGTAAGTCTGAAAACATCTATGAATAGCATCCTTAAAAATGTGGTAGAAGTTATGGTACAGGCTAGTGTCACTTTCAATGCCCGCAGTAATCTAACCTTTTTCACTAGTAAAACTGTGAATGAACCTCATAAAGATAAGACTATTGTTTCTTAAGCAAATTATGTAGAAATGTATTTTGAAAACGTCCTCCTAATGGATGATAATATTTAATTATCAATCAATTTGAAATCTAGTGGAAATGGTAGAAAGATATCCAGTAGAGTGGCCTGTATATTCTCGGGATTTAAATCCTTATAAAGTTTGTGTGGGACACATTAAGATGCCGACTTGCATTACTGCAGCTCCCGGATAGCATTCTGTAAAGATTCAGGTTATTAATCGTGATTGTACTTTGTTACAGAAGCAACTCCTGGACACAGTATCCACTGAGAGCTTCGCGAAAAAGCCTCCATTAAAATACCGAAATCAATGTGCACAAAACAATCCACGGCCCCGGGGTGCCACGAAGGTGCATTTAATATACAATTTTTTTTTACAAAATAAAATATGTAAGCATGATCTTACTTCATAAACTAACGGATGTGAAGTATAGAAAGAATCTAGAGGCTTCCTCCTGGCACATATTGCCTCTGCATGACGCACAAGACTTTAAATTTCTCTTTCACGCGTTCATAGCGGAATTTCGAAGAGCTTTTATTACACAAAGCATGAAATGCTTTATGTTTCTATTTTAATCCACCTGTTGTTGGTTAAAAGACTGAGCGAATTAAAACAATATAATAATTTTCCGAAAAAAATCTAAAGTTGATCTTTTACGCACGCTCATATAGTGAATTTCCAAATTTTGCTACTGAGCAAAACATAAGAGTTTAAAGTAATGCTTTAAATTTAAACTTTGTGTTAGTGATCAATACACTGGGCAAGGCAAAAGCAGTAATCGTATCTTTTAATAATTTAAAGCTTTATTTAAATTTTTTAAATTATATAATTTAAAATATACACTGGTGTGCAAAAATTAAGGACGAAGTCGAAAAATTAGCATATCAGCTGAACGAAGAGGCAGAGCCGACAGAAAGACCAATCAGGAGATTAAGTAAGGTGATGTACGGTAGCACATGCGCAGATATGCAGGTAGACGTAATGGGGGAGTGCCTGAGTAGTATAAAGCATGTTGTCGGTGTAAGGTCAGTATTTCTGGCAAAGGGATTGCACGCCGTATAGCAGTTAAAATCACACCGAGTTGCAGCCTCAGCGAGAAATAGCGAATAATCAATCTGTTACACGACATCTGGATGCTTTTACCCGAGATCGAATCATAGGGAAGTTGGAGGAAGGCCGCAGTGTGACAGGTGTGGCTACAGAGTTCGGAATTGCTCACAGCATCGTTTCACGACTTTGGAGACAATTTCAAACTACATGAACAGCTATCCGGGGGTATAGTAGTGGTCGTCCACGAGGAACCACACCCGCAGATGACCGGTATATTGCCTTACAGGCCAGAAGAAACAGGCGGCAGACAGCGGGAGAAATCGCTAGACACACGACACAGGCGACTGGACGACCGATATCGCGTTTTACCGTGGCCAGGAGACTGCACGGTGGTGGTATGTTTGCACGACGCCCTGTACGGTGTGTTACCTCTTACGTCTGCCCATCGGAGAAGGCGTTCTCTGTGGTGGCGGGAACACCGGAATTGGAGAGACAATGAATGGGGACGAGTAAGCTTTACAGATGAGAGCAGATTCAGTCTGAGTAGCGATTCCCATCGCATACTCATCTGAAGAGAGCGGGGAAGCCGGAATCCTCCCTCCAACATCATTGAAAGGGACAGGTATGGAGGTGGCGATGTTCTCGTTTGGGGAGGCATCATGCTTGGTAGTCGTACAAACCTTCACATCTTCGACGCAGGTTCAGTCAACGGGACCCGTTATTGTAACGAGATTCTTCTTCCATATGTGCGTCTTTTTAGAGGCGCTATGGGTCCGCAGTTCCTTTTCATGGACGACAATGCACCATGTCATTGCACAGTAGCTGCCGAACAGCTCTTAGAGAGTGAGGATATTGAACGTATGGATTGGCCGGCACGATCTCTGGATCTCAATCCCATCGAACATGTATGGGATTTTCTAGGCAGACGCTTGGCAGCTCGTACCTTACCACCAGTAACGATTCCAGAGCTTCGATTGGCGCTGCAAGACGAATGGGCAGCAATGCCTCAACAACTCATTGACACCCTCATTCTCAGCATGGGCAGACGCTGTGAAACCTGCCCAGCAGTCAGGGAAGATCATATCCCCTATTAAAGACCGGATGTTTCTTGCTGGACACCCATCACAGGGATGTTTCGGCCTTCAGTCGCATTGCGCTCCATGCTACTTTTTCAATAAAGCTTCTTTTTATCCCTCTGATTTCTCTTTTAGTAAGTGTTGCTTACATTACTCATGTCCTTACGTATTGGGGATCTTACGGTATTAAATGTGTTGATTTGGAAAGCTTTTGTACAAAGTTATATTGAAAAAAACCGTCTCGTCCTTAATTTTTGCACACCAGTGTATATAAATCATATTATGGCCAAATGATAGTTTTTATGGAAATTTACAACTTTATTTTAATTAATAACTGATATTTCTTATTCCGAATGTTACATATCGGATGCATAATTATTATAATTTTATATTAATGAGGTTTGGAATTATTAAGTTTTTAAATTACGAACATATTGTAGATGATGTACATTGTAGTCTCAAGTTTTTGAAGTTTCAGAAAGCATTTATTGTGTCATAATTCAATTTGAATATATTTTAAATTTTTAATCTCATTAATATGGGGCAATTTCCCCAAACATATACTTTAAATTAAATTAGGTGTGGGAAATATTTAATCTGATCAGAGAGCAAAGCCAGTGGAAAAGTCTTTTATAAATGTTCAGAAATTCTGAAAAAAATACTGGAATTAATATAACTATCGCATAACTTAAAAAGACTATAAAAAGAATTTAACTGAAATTTCGAAAATAAGCAGAATGATAGCATTTAATCTAAAAGATATTTATTATGAAAATTTTATTTATGTATTTTTAAGTACGTTCTTGTAAAAGCGCTAATTTTAGCTTCCAGTTAAATTGTAGTATTTCAGTTCAACTGGAATAAAGGGCAATAATTCTATTTCAATTACTGTAATATTTTTAAAAACGAAAATCTTTTCAGAAAAGAGAAATAAATGAAGTCAAAAAGGGGAGGGGTGCAGGTATTCAAAAAATATTTTTTTAATATTTTGGCAAAATTTTCTTCGCAACAATTCTACTTTTTTGAAATAATATAAATGAAAAAGGATTACTTTGATTTCTGGAAAAACATTTAATTACGCTAAAGTAACTATACTTTTCATTGAATTCTCGTAATAACTACTAATTGCTCTTAGAGCTATAGTTCAGTCAATGTTTTAAAAGCCATCTCATTTTAAGACTTTTTTTTTTTTCTTTTTCAGATATCTGTTTTCAAAATTTGTAAATACTAATATTCAAAAATTTAAACTGGAACAAATCTAAATTCCTAAATTGTTTCCTAAAATTAAGGTGATAACTATTACACAGCTCCACATATTTTTACTATTGTTCTGTCACAGAGATGAAATATTTTTTCTAACTAAATTTAACATCTTAAGCACGAATATGAATTTTATTTTCAAATATAGATTTTTGTTTAGAATGGAGCATTATTTATAATCATGATTTGTTAAGCTCAAGAAATAATTAACTTGTGCATATTTCCACAAATACTGTTACGTTACTAGTGCACTGCTGGACGTTTAGAAGTGTTTATTTAACAGTCAGATTGTGGTAACAAAATACCCTACTCTTTTTTTAATCCTACTTAAAAAAGAAACAATCGAACTTTGTTAACCTCATTTTCGTGATCAGCATCCCAAATTAATAAATATCGTATTTTTATGCTATAAAATGTTTGTAGAAAAATGTTAAAAAACAGTATTGAACTCAATTTTCACAAATTTTCGTCGGCGAAACTTTAAAACTGAGATATTTTTGAACTGCTTTATTTTCAATGACGATGGATTTTACCACGATGATTTAGAACTGTGATGTTTTTTTCTTGCTTTTTTTGCTCTTAATGTTTAGTACAACGATGTTTTCGCCTTACATTATTTTTTTCGTGACGTTTCCATAGGCAGTGCATTTGCCGCAATGATTTTGTCAGACACCTTTATTCCCGAACCCAAAATTTCATGTGTGAGCTTCTGAGGACTCTGGCAAGACTTACAGTGTCGACGGATAATGATGTATTCATCTAAACTTCTAGCCCTTGCAAAAAGAAACGATGTCTCCACTATATCTCATTATGAGGCACGTGCTCTGTCATCAGGTACGTAGTCTGTTTATTTGTATTGTTTAGATTCATAGATATTTTATTTTTAGTTTCTGTTACTTCTCCGGAAATTCATGTAAATGCTAATTCTGCGTAAAAATGTTATACTAAATATTGCATATATTATTATAGGTATGCAAGCTAAAAAATTAACACATTTTCAGTTAATTCAGCAACTGAAAGGAAACGTAAAATTTATTTGAGGAACAACTTTTCATGTAGCAAAGATAAAAACAAACACATTTTCGCGCAATCTATCAATCAAAAAGTGTTATGTGTTCAAATCAACGGTACATAATACTTGTATATGCACCTAAAATTTGAAATATTAAGCATTGAAATACAAATGCTGAAAACTGTAGATGGATGTTATGGACGAAAGGTGCTGTCATTTGAATCTAGATTGTTTAAAAGCACTACAGTCATGAATGATAGCATGTTGTCTAAGGATACCAAAGTGTAATGCTAAATCTTCCTTTTGCGAGAAGAAGATTATATTACATGTCTCTGGCGAAAAATAGTCAATAAATCGGGACATTCTTGAACTTGTATTGATACGGGTGATGTAAGCAAGTAACATACTTGTCCACCACCAAAAGAATAAAAGGCAGTTCGTACATTTTTGGACGAATTGGCTTTGCTATTGAAAACAATTGTCTGCTTCGAAGTTTTCATTTTAACTGCAACTATATTTTTGAAAATATAAATTATGGTTTGCTACTTAGCAATTTTGTTTTCATGCAAAATGGCGCTTTTAAAGAAGCAATGGATAGAAGGCAATGGTTGTGTTGTTCTTTCCGAAGAAAAGTATTCGTATCAGTTATTAAATAACTCTATGAAAGCCATAGTTTTTTGGTATCTAAAGCTACGATAGTAGTATTGTCAACAAGAGAGGAAACTAACGTCAAAATTTGGTTTCAAATGGAAAATTGTTCCAAATACATATCGAAAGAAAAACGGAATATTTCGAACGTTGCAAAGGTAAGATCTTTAACATTTAAAAAAAATATATGTCAATTCAACGGATAGTTGTAAATTCATTAAAATGCTCCGTGTCAAATATAAACAATGTGATTAATGCTGATTTGAATCTTAAAAAGATTAAAAAAACATAATATGCATCATCTTTCACCATAAAATATCACCGAACGCCGAACGCACTGCAGAATTCTTTATGAGAAACATTTATTCGAACCAAAATGGAAAACTGTTGTCACAATAGAGGAATCTTGGGTGCATGTAAAGGACTGCAATTAAAATATATCCATTTATTATCACCAAAGAAGAGAAATCAGTCTTAAAACATCGTTGAAAGAATCTAAAGAAAGTTATTCAAAGGGATTTATGAGTGCTGCTGGTTTTTTATATAACGGCAAATTTAAAATATTGTGAGCGGAGAAAAATGTTAAGATCAACTCCATATATTATCAGAAACATATTTTATATCCAGTTTTCAAATATGTAATATCTTCTATTCACCCACAGTATTATCAATTAGCAGAACTCCATCAAAACAAAGTTAGCAGCCACACGTCAAAATCCACTGTTAATTTTCTGAAAATAAAATGGAACACGAAACGGGTATCTAGGCCATACCCCTCACTTACATCGCTACAAAATCTCCTAACCCGCGGATTTCCGAACTTTCAGACTTTGAAAAGCAAATTGGCTTTTCAAAGTCCTTACAACCTTCCTTTGACTCGTCGACTTACAACCTTCCTTGGACTGTTCAAAAGGAAAGGATTAAGTACCTCTTCCGATACTAGATTTTTTTGCTTGGAAAATTACGGGGTAAAAAGATAGTGAAGAATAAGGGTTATCCTACAGAACACTTAAAACGCAAACATTTTAGATAAAATATTAATTTAAATAATAAATAAAAATCGTGTGAAAAATGTGTGAATAGCCACTGTACAAGTGCTGCTTTTCGTATATTATTTTTTAAATGATCAACATACGTCATCAACATTGAAGTCATTAATATGAAATTTTACTAAACAGCACTACAGATACATATAATTTAACTTCAAACATTTAATTCTAGGTTCTCTGGAGTAGTTTTCAGTTCTGATCCTAAATTTTCTCGAGTTCAAATTCGGAAAGCTTTCCGAGTCTGTTGTGAATCTTATCTGTTCAGTTCTTCAAATATGAGCAATATAAAAGAGAGCAAGGAAATAAAACTGTTTTAATCATAAAGGTTTTTCAATACAGCGATATTTGATGTCTAGGTTTAATGAGAACTAATTTAAGGCTATAACTTTTAAAAATAAAATGCACCTATATTAAAAAAACAACAAAAAGTATATTAACGAGGTTTTCTGATATACATATATAGTTTAATACTATACACATATAGGTACATTTTCCTAACAAAATTTAGCAAAATATTTGAATAAATTTTAGATTTCTATTTACATTTCATAATTCAACAACTATGGCTAAATATTTTAGCTTTCAGAAATCAGAGTTGTAAGAGACGCAGCTTTCATGTACCATAGCATCAGTTTGTAGAAGCATCCAAGATTTTTTTATGCTAGTCTATACTATATCCGCTTTATATAGGCTTTATATCCGAAATCCCGTAAGTCGACAGTTTATTTTTAAATAATTTTCATTTTCGAAACGGCAAATCCCTTTCAGTATGCGCTGTCAGCGTGTCACATATCTTGTTCCTTACCGAAGAGTACGTATGTATTAAAAATAAAGGAAACTCATTGAAATGGCCTTTTCAAATTGCTTTTTATTAAAAAAACCTTTCTTTTTAGCTTTTTTTATAAAGATTAAACCGTCTTATTTCGATTTTCGCTTTCTTTTTATAAAAGCAATGCAGACAGAGAAAACAGAATTCAAAAGATTTCTGAAAAAGTGTGTTCTGTGTATCTTACAAATTTGCTTATCGTAGAAGTTATCGTAGAACTTTATGTCGTTTCAAATTTGCTTATCGTAGAAGCATATTTTCATGGATTCAGGGCAGGTGAAGTAATATTTATTTATATTTATTTATATGTAACTACATTAATTATATAAAAAAGTGGGGAAATCTTATTTACTTTACTTCAACGTTTCTTTCCATTCAAAAACAGCTTAAATCATTAACAAGTATATACATTTGCGGCTATTAAACTTTACTGAATTCTCGCCTGAGATCCTTAATATCATGAGTTTGGCCATCACTGCTCTAATCAAAAACGCATTCGCTTTAAAATTAGGCAAGTGCGGTTATTTCTTTTATTTAAACGTTTGGCTTCCAACCGCTATAATGGTTAGCATCGCTGACTGCCGTGCCCGGTTTGAATACCAAAGAAGACATGGATGTTTGTAAATGTATAGCGTCCACTCGGCATGGGGACATTCAAAATATGCGGTAAGCCTAAAGTCCTCGCGAGAGGTTGTTGGTAGGGAAAGAGGAGTGGGAGACCCTCGAACCCGTCCCCCTGGGGAGCTCTTCATTAGAATTAGAGACGGAACTGAACTAAATCCCACTGTCACATGTATGGTGCTCCAAGCTGTTGCCAACGACAGGAGTGAACTTTCGCTCCTTGCCACGGAGAATTTTGTGAGCTTGGGCTGACCATAGGTCAGGCAAGTGAGCATTCGCAACAATAGCAATTTAAACGTTTACGGGCAACATTTTTTCATGATGGCAGGGAACCCGGAGATGTAAAATATAAAAAATACGATGCCTTTGCTGTCCGTGAACAGGCAACCTCTAATTAACTTTCCGCAATTTCAGGATCTTCCCCTTAGATCAGTACTTTCGAGAATATTCTGGCATGTTATGTAACCGCTACTATAAATGTAGAGTTCGCGCCATTTTTCGTCAGACCGCTTTCCCTTCTACTGCTATAAGACATTTGCAGCCGCTTTTCCCATCTGTCTTCCTTTGTTTGAACAATATGATGCAGTAAATTTAAAGATCCCTATTTAGCTTAAGTTACTATCGCATATGTTATAAGGTATTTCTCCCACCGTCTTGGCGTGCCTTCGTGGCGTGGTGCTCTGCACACTGGGTTGGTATTCCAGAGGACCGTGATTTGATTCCCGGCGTAGGCTTTGTTAACTTTTCATCTTTCCTGCTTCCAAAATACCTAATGTCTCTACAATGTGATCTTGGAGAATCTAAAAGAATAATGATTTACCATTTGAAATGAATAAAAATGTGCAACTAGAAGCTAAATCCTTCGCATATTTTACATATAATTTTAAGTGCGATGAATCTTTGTAAGACCGAGGTACTTAAAATACTTTTGAGCCGCAAGTCATTTCGATAGACTGGTGGAAGAGGAAGAAGGGGGAGAGTCTCGAATTTGTCCCTACAGAAATTCTCCATCAGTGCTTGGGCGTATCTAGTTAAATTCACTATCGTTTTATCTATAAGGTGTCCAATATTTCAGCCTTAATTGTGTGTTTATTAATAACCTTAACAGAAATATAATTCTCATGAAAAAGTTTAAAATAGCATAAATATCAGCAATGTTCGATACGAAAATGTAATATTTTAAGAAAGAATGTAATATTTTGGAGTGGGAGGGGGGAGAAATCACGACGTGGACAAAATTAGCAATAGATAAATCAATAATAGTATTATGTCAGTTTAAAATAATAAAAATAATTAAGCATTTATAAACTGTTTCCCAACTAATAATGTTAAAACATCAATGTAATATTAAAATTAAAATATTAAAAAATTTAATGAGAATTACCATCATGCAGTACAAGTATACGAATAAAGCACACGTGGTTTGAAAAATGGTGCGAAAGGATAGGCATGATGGAAGAATTGATACATACCTTCATTAAAAAAACTCTTAATCTGCGAAAAGCATAATAAGGAGATATGGTTGCGTTAAATAAAATTTTTCGAAACTGTAATTATTTTAATTTTTGTTTTACGATTTCAAAAACAAGAATTACTGTGTAGATGATCGGATCATTGTAATAATTATTATTGAATAATTGTACAATTTGTCATGTTGGCTGCTACCGCCTGTACCCTT